CTTGCATTTCAAACTCTTAGAATCGTTATATCAATAATATATTTATATAAAATGCACTATAAGAAAAACTTCATTAATTTCTCAAAAAATGCATTCAAATAACGTTGGTGCCTTGTAACAATTCTGTCTGGGAGGTGACACCCTAATATTTTACCGACTAGTGGTAGATCAAGTTTTTTTGTGAGGTAGTAGTTTGGTCATAAGGTGTGCCAGGCCACCTTCAAAAAAAATTAAGGAGAAATTAGTTTATTTTTATCACAAACATTCATAAGCAATACGTATCACAGTTTTAAAACCAACATATAATTTTTGGAATTAGTATTTGTACTACATATGGGAACGTTTTGGCCTCCGTACATGATCTTTTCAATTTTCAAGTTGACCCCATTTAGAAACGGATTTTCTGAATTCGATTTTATCTAAAACTGATTGATACAATCATCCAAATGTTCTCTGATAGTATTTATTCTCAAATCTTTAACAAACTTTAAATTAGAGAGTATATAGTTTGCATGGTCGGGAATAACTTTGAAACCTCTGAAGTTCCTTTTGATATTGACAACATAAATCACAGTTGTAGCAGAAAGCTGGCATATCCTTTTGGCATTTGGTTGTGCTTACTGTGTTCAAACTCCACCTGAATTAATTCACTATCAATCGATAAATTTTCATTGGTTTTTGGTAAAAAAAAAACCTTTAATTTTGTTTGTATTTTCTAACTTAAGGTAGGTACTGTAGTAGGAGTACCTACCTACAGTACCTGTACCTTTGAATTTGCAAGACGGTAGTAATTGGTTACTGTGATTCATTCTACTCATTCTAACAAATGCTATGTGAACTTTCGTTCTATTCAAACTGGGTATTTCTCATTTTCACTGCATATCTTCGACCCTGCGAGAAATCGCTTGTTAAAAGGTGAGATCTAGTTAATGTTTCGACTTTCAATGGTTGTCATTGGTAAGGACGCTAAGCCAATTCGCAGAAAATTTTAACACACAAATAAAAATTACACCTCTGAAATCTGAAACACGCACATTACTCCTACACTAATAAGCACCACCTCAGAACTATGATAAACAATCTAAAAAATAATGGCCAATCATCTGATCGCATAAATAAATATTCAACTCTTGTGTAAAAAAATTACTTCCGTGCCGAACTTGCTTGCATCTACTCAACCATAATTTTGGTAGATATTTCCATAACTGCTGTGAATATCCAGATATACTCAAAGCAGCCAATGTTGACATAGAACCTTACTGGCTGTTTTTTTGCAAATGCATTGATGGGAGTCAACATTAGGAAACTGATCACACAACTTTAGGCCTGAAGTAGGTGATGCCTGTTCAGCAGGAGCTTTCGCAGTAGCTGCTGCTTAACCCGACAAGGAAGAAATTTAGAAGGTAGAAAATAAAAAGGAAAAAAAGTCTGAAGAGACTGAAGACGATATGGGTCTTGTGCTCTTTGATTAGACTATAAGTTTTGAACTATGTGATATAGGATCAAACTCAACGTTAATGATATAATCATATAAGTTGGTTAGCAAGAGTTAAATGCAGAAATAGGTCATTGCACTTGCTGTTCATCTCCTTGCGTAAACGGAAATGTTTAAATCCTAAAATAATACGGACTGTATTATATTCAATATGAGCAGCAGATGTTCCATCCGCTGCTTTCATATTTCTCATTTTTTCTGTTATTTGGCAATTTATTATTTTCCCAACTTTTACCGACTCAACTGACGACTTCAACAATAATTTAGGGAAATAGCACATCCCATACCTCTCAAAAACTGCACCTGTTAAGTCAGTCAAAAAGTTCAACATTTTTTATGGTATAGTATAAAAACATAAAAAAAATAATTTTATCCAAGAGTGAAGTAAGTACCCATTTTTTCGACGTTAAAAGTTTTCACTAAGAACTGTTAACAATTTTATACTCGGATTCACAACTGTAGTCCTCTACACAGGAAAACTTTTTTCTTTTTTGTAATGAATTCAAACCTCTGTTAATAGTTTTTACTCCTTTTTACTCCAATTTATTCAAATTCAGAGTTCTTTTTTTGTTCCTTATATTTCCATATACATTTATTAATTAACTTGAGAGGGTTATATTTTTAGGAGTGGCTAATTTTTGGGAAAGAAAGTTTTTGGCTTTCTACTACTTCATCATGATACAGAAAATGTGAAAATCTTCCAAAGAAAGGAAATAATCAATTTTAAAAGAAGTAACTGTATACATAGATGTGTAGATCATGCAAAAAAGTAACTTTCAGACACAAATCTGGAAGAAAAAACCTTCCTGAAACAACCACTTTCATATAAACATTGATTTACTTGAAAGAAAAATTCTTTCGAAACAAATACTTTTATATGAACAATGAATTATACGGAAAATACTTTTTTCTATTCAGTTTGTATTCCAAACATTCGTTATAAAATTAAATCAGATATCATTCGAAAGAATTTTTCTTTCATGTAATTCAATGTTTATATGAAAGTAACTGTTTCAGAAATGTTTTTTTTTCCAGATTTGTGTTACTTCTTTGCATGATCTACACATCTATGTATACAGTTACTTCTTTTAAAATTGATTACGTCCTTCCTTTCTTTGGAAGATTCCCACATTATCTGTATCAAGATGGAGTAGTAGAAAGCCAAAAACTTTCACGTTTAATAATTCAATTGAATTTGTTTTATTGATGCAAAATAATTATAACATAAACTCAAAACATGTACCAATATCTTGAAGTTATGTGAAATAAAAATGTTAATACTTTTTGATAACCTAAAACCTCTAATTGAAATCTTTGCTTGTTATACTTACAAAATTTTGGCTAAACACTCCTTAATGAAAATACTTGAAAATACAAATTTTAAAGAATAAAAACTTTAGTTTTTGAGAAAAAGTTTTTGGCTTTTTACTTCTCCACCTCTATATAAAAAAGTGGTCAACTTCCAAAGGAAGCAAGAAAGCAATCAAGTTCAAAATAAACTCTTAATAGAGATATATAGTCAAAAACCATTAGCTCCTATATATCCCCTTTCAATTTCAATAACATCATATTCTAGTAAATAAAAAAATAGTCAGACAGTATCTTTGTTTTTTTGAACCAGTTTTATTAAATTTCAACATATAAGCCCCAACACATTGTTAAAAAATCTAAAGGGATAAGACCTTGTGATCTGGCTGGCCTCGGATTAGGGACCAGTATATATTATGTATTTGGGCTTTATGACATGTGGATCCGCCGAGGTGAAAACTGAGATGATCTTTTTCTTGATTGAAAAAATATTAATAATATATTTTAATGCATACATGAGAAAATTTCTGTGTTTATCGTCTCAAAAGTAATAAGAATCAAATTGTTAAAAATAGCACACATTTTATTTTTAAACAAAGTCTTGGATTTTGCACTATATGAAAGTTGAGATTTTCATCTGCCTACCATCTACAATTTTAAGAAAAATGTTCATGCTGATGTCTTACTTGTCTTAGTTATACGCAAATTATCACTAATAAGGGTACTTCAAGCTTGGATAAAATTTACATTTCAAGTTACAGGCAATGCACCAAATTTTATGAAAATAAGCTTTCTGAGCATCAAATCAATAGGGCTCTTCATGTGGCAGTCTTCTGGTGTGGACTTTATATCTGTACTGTACCGTAATATTGATTATTTCACCGTGCATAATTTATTCCTATTTATAAAAGAATTTGTAATTGCTATTTACATCAATTTCTCTTATATTGGTTATTAAAATTTCCAAAACTAATATCTTGAGAACGAAATGGCTGAAATATTTGAAACTCACATTGAAATAATATTATGCCCAAAGTTTGGTGAAAATGGTAAATGAACCATTTTTCAGAGGACTGTCCTTAATGTCTCAATTTCCGTAACGCATTTCCTTCTCTATTGCTTCTTCATTTGAGCTCTTCAATAAAAAAACAAATTTTCAATATAGTTTCACTCTGAAATATCATTTAATGAAATAAAATTCAGGTTGAAAGTTCATTGGTCTTTGAAACCGTTCCATGGGGTCACAATGAAAACATTTAACTTGGCAATTCTTAGATCTCAGAAGGTAACAGGTGGAATTCTTTCTATGAAGAATTCGAATTCATTTGGAATTCCAGTGGTTGAATGCAAAGCTCACGATGAAATATTTTTTGATTCCGAAATATAGGTCTATAGTAATGATATATTTCAAAATAAATCATATGTATAGCAAAAAAAATTCGATGCATTTCATCAATTCTCTCAAATAATTCATGATGAGAAAGACAGTTTGGGGAAGTTATATTTCAAAATCAAACTTAGACAGGTTGAAACGCTGGAAAATATTGGCAAAATATCTTATTAATTGGCAGTAATGCAGGCTTCTATTGTCTAATGGCATAAAAAATAATTATATTTCACTACTTTTGCAAATGCAAATGCTCTCTATTTTATGAGCGAACAACGCAAATTTTCAAGGTGAATGTATTTTAAAATGTGTATTTTACACATATTGTTATTGAACTCCTGTTTCATTTGGTGACTAAACTACATTCATCTCCAAGGCAAGCTCCAACAAAATAAGGATGTTTCAGTTTTGTGAACAAAAATTGTAGAGGGTTTCAATAATCAATAATCAATAACAACTGTAATCTAGGTAGAGACGACCTAATCATTACGAATACCAAATTGCAGATTCCGATAACGAATCGACACACCTCCTGATCATGAGTTCAATTGTGTTCAAACGTACATTGAAAACGAATGCAGTAAAGTCTCAGAAGTTTAAAAAATTAAACTTTTCAAAATTAATTATCAATGAACCTAGTTTCATTCGTTTGAAAAGACAATAATGATTTTCAGATTTCCTTTGAATCTTTTTCTCCTCCGGTTTCAATTTTTTTATTCAACATAATTTTAGAATTTGAATGTTTATACCTTAGGCAATAGAAGCCTGAACTTTCATCCCAATTATTGAAGAAACTGGTGGCTAGCTTACATAGCCTAATTGTTTCCAAGGTCCAAATCATCTATGTAGTAATTAAATGTTATAAACATTCCACAATAAAAATTTGGCAATCTATTTCTCGACGATCAGGTATGAATAAAACTAATCAACAAGTTGATGATCAGAAAACTTCTGAAACACAAACAAAACAAATTTAGAAAGATGAAATAAAATAAAAAATTTCAGAAGGTTATTATGCAGTACATTTTAGAAGTTCTGGTAAGTCGTAATCCATCTGGTGGTTCAACTCAAGCTGCTAGAAACCGAAAATCGCAAATTGTTGCACCTATTAGCATCTGGAAACACAAAAAGAAAATAGAGATGTCTAAAACAACCGGATACCTTTACTTAAGGGAATGTTTTACGAATAGCATGAATGAGTATGAGTCTAAATTTCAACCTAACTTGATAGAGCGAAATCTGGAAATTATTTGAACACTCATCTTCGATAGCAACAATTACGAAATTTTCTGTAAATTGAATAATGCCTATTACCAAGATTTCTTGAAATCGTTACCTTTTTTTTTTTAATTCTTGATATGACCTAAAATAATAATGTTTCACTAGGTTAGGTATCTAGTGGTGAATACAAGTGATGAAATACTTGACTTTGTCCATTCTGGACAATCCCCGCAATGATCCCAAAAATAAATAAAATAATTTTGATTTCAAACTGAATTTTTGATTCAAATGAAGGACAGTTAATTATTCAATAGTGGGGACCAATATGGCCCTAAAGGCATTAACATTTGGATTTTGTAGAAGTACTTTAATTTTCAGTCTGTGACTGATACAGTATTTAATTGAAACAAAAAGCAGAGAACTGTTCACTTGGAGTAACAAATATTATCAATTATTAAAACTACTGTAGCAGCAGATTTTCCAAAAAGTGAAGGATTTTCATTAGGTTCTGAAGAGCTATGAAACCCCTGTAATCTTCCTAAAAAAAATCGTTTAAAAAATAGAGCAGTATGCGGCTCAATTTTGAACTGGCAAAACCGACATGATCTCTCTCTAAAGTGAGAAAATTGGAGAATATAGTACAGAATTTTGATTAAATTTTAGTAAAATCATATAACCCTTTGAAACCAACTACAACACTAGCCCGCAAATGACAACAAATTTGGATATCTAAATGAAGGCCAATGGCAACTAGGATCATTTATAGGGAATCTACAATCCGATTCTAATCTGTTACAGTTCCTCAGTAACAGAAATAATATTTGCATACGTAGCAGTAGATTTTGTGCCAGAAAAACAGAAGACTTATAAAAAAATTAAAATGACAGATACATACTACATACATGGTGACACTATTTTCAGTCATTAAACAATTACTATAGAAGGTCAACTGGGTCATCAGTAGATTTTAAATCTCAAATAGAACAGTAACTCAACTGCCAAAACAGGAGACCTACTGCAAAAACAGTAAACATGACAATACTGAATACAGTGAAATATTCAGCAGTTCGATTGCATTATGGGTTCGTTGCGAAAGATTCTCGTTCAATAACACTGTGATGTCACCAATTTTTTCAATCATTAATTTTTTTGGTAATTTTTCAAATGTTTCATTAGTTATTCTGCTATTCTGGCTGAGAGACAAAAATCATAAAAATCACCATTTTTAAATTTTCCAACCTTGTTTCTCATATTAGATTATGTTATATCATCACAATGTAAATTTTAATCTTCTAGTTACTTTTCTCAGTTTCAGTAACCATAGGTAGGTCGCTAAAAACAGTCTCAATTTGAAAATATTCAATCTACAGAAAATTACAATCGGGTCTGGTTGTCAAAATTTGTTGGTATATCTAACCATAGTCTAATTCAGTAATGTAGTTTTGCTACTCATCTTAGAAATCAAGATGCATAAAAACCCTGGTGCAGTATTTTGAATACTTTTAAATGTTTACAATTCCTGATTTGTATTATGAAGGATATACAATTAATGGACTAATATTATGGTGTGCCACAATAAATCCTTACAGGTTGCGGTGGAGGGTCGAATAGACCCACTCACTTTGGAGCTAACCTAATATCATAGTATAGAACCAAGCTTGTAAACTGTTAGGTTATGTTCAGAGACTTAAAGATATGTATGCTAAACTCCGCCAAACAAAATAAAAGCAATTTATTATCATTACATATCCTTGTATCTCTTGTTTGAAAACATCACCATGATGTTTACATTAATGTGATATGAAACATATCTATGTTATTGTGAAGCTCAGCTTATGCAATAAACTTACTGGTTGATAACTATAATTATGACATCTGAAAAACATACTTGACTTTTTTTTTATACATTTTTACCAGGATTAATCAACTCAATAGACCACTCCTATAATATTGCGTTGAAGGTTAGCTCCATCGGTACCACATTCTAATGACTACTCTTAACGTATTTTTTCAAAACTTTTTCAAAATTGAATTTTCGTTATCCCCTTGTTTTGCAGTGTCACCTCGAGGCAATGATCACAGCTAATCCTACTTCATAACTTCATTTTTCATTATTGAATAAATACTGGAAAAATGACTACGAGAATTGATATCATGTATAATTAATTGTTACATTGTATCTGAAACTTTTGAGAATACAAATCATTAATTACTTTGACCGAACTACACATTTATGTTCAACAAGAGAGATATTCAAGATGACACATCAATCCCTGTTTCTAATAACTTTAGAAATAATCTGATCATTCCATTTGCTTCTTGTGTGATGTTGGCTAAAGAGTTGTGAAAAATTATTTTAGAATCAAAATATATTACAAGGTCTTTCACTTTGCTAGAAATGTATGAATTAGGGTGTTCCAGTTTGTAATTATAGTTTGATAAATTGTTTCAGCAAAATGCAATGATACTTATGGAGGTTTCGGTAGAACACACTACTTTTATGATATTCCATAAGTCTATTGATGTTTTCATACATTAGTAAAGAGTTATTCAAATTAAACACTGTATGGAATATTTTTAGGTGGTTAGCATAATAGAGGAACTCTAAAAGCATAAATCATTTTGAACTATCGTTTATAATATTGAATAAGCAATTACACCAAGGATTTATCCATCTTGATAAAAATGCCATCAGCTATATATAAGAACCAGATATGCAAACATTGTTAAATCATATTAGCCGATAAACTCATACTCAAACATTCGTGTATTTACTTAGGTTTGCCTCCTACCGTGTAGCGTAGGGCTACAGAAACGTCAGTGACAGCTATGCCAGAGTCCACAAGGTTACCAGGCGATCTCATTCTGGAACATCTCAAGCAAGACATCTCACATTAATATCTCGTCTCTTATTCAAAATAGAACACTCGTAAAAAATCTTAAAGAATTAAAACTTACTGACTGGATCTACTTGTAACGCGGGAGGCTCTTCTGTGCCTGGGGCTGGAGGTTCGCTTTCAGTTGACTCTGGATCCAGCTCCATTTCCTGTTCAGGTTGTATTTCGGAAGATTCCACTGACAAATCCATTGATGTCGGTTCTGGTGGTAGTGGTGTCATGGGCATAGGAGGAATAGGTGGAGGAGGTACTGAAGGTAATCCTAAAGGAGGAATCCCAGGAGGAAGCATTAAATGAGGTGCCATGGTTGGAGGCATACCAGGAGGAAGGACCGGGGCCAACATCGAAGGTAATCCTGCTGGAGGAACAGGGGGGGTATTTGTTGAATTCACTGATTGGGATGGCTAAAAGTACGCATTATAAACATAGTTCATTGAACTACTGTAAATGTACTTACGACTTTAGATGCAGCATTCAGCAATAAACGTTGCTGTTGAAATGAAGTCATCATTTTGACAAATTTGTATTATTTATTATTCAAGAGCAATATATCACACACAACTGATATATTTGATAATCCACTAAACAAAATGGCGCTAGCTTAACAAACTACTATAACAAGATAACTATTCGTCAGTGTTGCCAAAAGACATCGCCGACATCGGTCAAATTACACGCCGCCAACTGTCAAATTACACGTTTTTGCACGCAAATGTTCATGATTACACCCTCTCTGGACACCCTTTTTGACATTGAAAAGTAGAGGCAAGGAATTGTAGTCGAAAGTCTTGCTTAAGAAAAATATTGTAAGTAAAACACATGTCGCAGTTTTTTCAATCTCTCATTGTAAAAATGAAAATAACAATAAACTCTAGTAAGTTTTGATATGAATTTTCATCAAATGTCGGTCAGAGTATTTATGTTCACTGTTCACAGATACTCATAAATATCCTTTCAGAAATAATCCACATTTAGGAGAGTTTTTTACAGCACACTTTTCACACAGAACAAAATACAGTCTCTCGGCACATATTTCGCTAACCTAGTCAGCTTCATCAGGAAATGATTAGAAATAGAAATAGACCAGTTCAAGTCATCTCCTGATAATGCTAACTTGGTGAGCGAAACGCGTGTCAAAGTTCTGTATTTTGTTCTGATCTGGAAAAGTGTTTCAATAGATATCCAACTTATCACAATATCCAAGATATCTCTTAGTGTTTTTTTAAATTTCTCAATGATCCAAATAATTTGTTTTAAATTTTTCATTTGATGACGTAAGATTTGAAAAACTTGTGCAATTTCCGAATGTTAGTTTTTTCAGTGGGAGTTTCATAAAAAATTGTATCTAGTAGAAAAAAGTATAACATTTGGAAATCAAACATTACATTATCAAACCACGAAAATCGAAATCTATCATACTCATTCGACAATTTTTAATAGAAAACTCATATAAAGTTCAAAAATCTTATTATAGTTCTTGAGTCATTATTATTCGATGATCTATATAGTGAATTTCGATATCAAAAACTTTCTCTATTATCACAAGTAATTCGCAGCACATTTTATCGTGACTCGAAGAGTTTGTATACCCACTACAGGAT